AATGTAAAAGTAAAATGTCTCCACAGAAAACCTTTTCTTTAAAAAAAAAATTACTTAAAAAAACCCCTTATTAATAAAAATGTTTACTTTACACAAGTCCCTGTCTAAATCATTACTATAGAAACAATACTGCATTAGAATATGCATAATTAATATAAACGTGTCAAATATAAATTTGTCTTGCAGCTGGAATGACTGTCAGAGCTGCTGTTATAGAAAATGAATCAACACCTTCTGACCAGAATTGAGCATTCAACAGCGCTGTGGTATAAATCGCTAGAAACCTTACCTCAATATTAGCCTTTGCAGTACTGATATTGCATACTCCATAAGTTTAACGAATCTAAATATAGGAATTATTGTCCACATACCATTTTGGGCTCGATGGACTCAGCTGCCTTGGTCATGCCATCCAGACACTTATTAACGATAGGCAGCACTTTGCGCTCCACCTCGGCGTAGCACCTCATACTCTCCCCTATTCTCTCAATCCGTCTCTCCTCCATCTCCTGGATCCTCTGTAACACAACACAGCTCCACTTACTGTAGAGGCGTCCGGTAGGTACGGTCAGATAAGATCCTCTTTCGAGCCATTAAATATCCTATGAAGACTTACCTGAAAGATGTGGGGGATGAGGGTGTAGTAGTGTTCGTGTTGGTCTTTATTAAACTTCTGCAGGTAGGACAGATACTCGTTCTTACTGTCATCAGCTATTTGATGCCTTATTTGAGCCTGCTGTTTAGCCTGAGAGAGAGAGAGAGAGAGAGAGAAGAGAGATTGTGAGGGAAGTGCTATAAGAAGGTTTGCCCAGCATCCTTTGTGCCACTGCAGGGTCACGCTGTAAAGTAAAATTAAAAGCCACAAACAGTACAAAAAAAACAACCTAACAAACATGTACACTAGTATCCAACAGCACATAATACCACATCTGACTTCCATTGTGGCATAAAAATGTGGACTGATGCTGATCTACCAGACAGGACGAGTGCAGCTGCACATACAGAGACGTCTCTCACGGGGCGCCATCCACAGATCTGTCCAAATGTGCGGAAACTGGAAACACTTTAAGACGCCAGACACAAAACCACCAGCTCAAAAAAAGAATCACACAGTATCACATTATTTCATGCAGCCTATTTTGAGCAACAAGGCTATTTTACAAAGCAAAATGTTCCAGCAGGCCACGTTAAGTAAAAGGAAAGTTTGATTAGAAAAAAACCCAAAAAAAACAATACAAATATATACATATACAGAATTGTCCTCTTACTCCAAATGTAGTTAGTTTTGCACTGGAGCTACGGGGCTAATGTGCTAACAAGCAAGGCTACAGCAAGACTATTTGAGATTACTACATTTACTCCAGACTCCAGTCAAAAAAATTCAATTCACAATTTTCCATTTAAAGCAGAGCACATACAGAGAGAGAGAAAAGAAGAGAAAAAAAAACTTGTTCAGGAAACTCAGTTTGTGATCTCACATCTGATATGAAATTACTAGTAGAGGATAAATATATGCTAATCAGAAGCTTTTAGCCACATTATCTGTATGCTAAGATAGTTACCCAGCTAACATAGCTAAATGTCATGAAGAGAATCCTGTGAGCCAGTATTTTCTCAGGTTCAGTTACTGAGATTATGAAGATGCAATCTATGAGACTCGATATCGAAACTTCAAATGCGAGCCCGTTTACAAACACTGAACTAGCTGTCTAGTTGTGTGCTAATGTTAAACAGAGTTCAACACAGTAATCTTCTACACCAGCAACTACAATGTTAATAAACACAAAATGAATGGTTCCGTGTCAAGAATTACATAGTGTTGGTGAACTAGTGTCTCGTCTTCCTCTGCTCAGTGTGGTATAGACATACAGGACTGGATTTTTCATGGAGTAATACAGTACAGTGTGTTATAGAAGATAGCCTGATGCGGAACTGGTAAAAGCTGTATACTTCCAGTTCTTGTTAGCTATGATTACAGCGTAGCTTCTGGGCAAAACTAAAGAAGTTCAGACACCAAACATGTTTTTTCTGGTCGACTACATTTGAGGTAAGGGGCGAAAATGTGTAAATTTCATTTTTTGTCAAAGTGCTGCTGTAATACACACTAGGGCTGCTAAAGTACTAAAGTAGTCGACATAATGGACTAGCTTGATGATGAAATTTCACTGACATGGATTTTTTTCAGTTTACGTGTTGTTTACTTAACCAGCAATGAAAATGAGTTGTTAACTGCGGTCAGAGACATCCCTAAGAATCATCAAAATAACTTCCTTCTGAAATAAACCGCTAAAATAAGGGCATGATATTTCTAAATAGCAGTTACACTGGCAGTGTGATTTTTGTGTTTCATTTTATTTATCATTTCTCCATGATCTTCATTATGCCTTTACATACTTTGGGCTTGTGTCATCCAGCTGTGAAGCTTACTTTGTAAATTAGGATACTGAGGCATAGAGAGGATGTCTAAAGGATCCAGCATTACAGACCCAAATCTTTAAACCTCCAGAGAACCTTTAAAAAGTAGCAGCGTAAAGTATAGCAGCAGAAAAAAAAGAGGAAGACATTGAATTAGGAGCAGTTAAGGACTGCAACGGAACAGATACGCTGTACCTGTATTCATTATAACATACACGGAACACACACACACACACGGTACCAATAAGACAAAGTCAATACGGTAGTCAAGAAACGAATCACTTGAACATGTTTCAGCACACAGATTCATTCAGCATGCACACTAACAGAGCACAAACACCGAGGCACACAGCACAGAAAATGGACAGGAATTGGCCGTCTGTTCTCAGAGCAACTCTTTCGCATTATGTACCATTTCTTTGGCTTAATTTGATAAATTGCATATCAGACAAATGTAATGTGCTAAACAGTGGTTATAATAACCACATAGGCATTTGTTGGCTTGCACCAGTGGCCAGAGGGACGTACTGTAATACAGCAACAGGGCCAGAGATTTGGACAAACAGAAATAATTTTGCGACAGACATTTTATGTAGACGTTGATGTCTATGGGCGTACACTAAACAGATTAACAATTCCCCACAGACAGAGACGACTCGTGGTTATAAACCTACCTTGAGTGAACACCGCTTTGAGCCATGTTAAAAAGACAAAAACAGAGTCGATTAGTGTCAGAGCACTTTGTGGCGTAGAGCAGAAAGTCAGATATATGCGCATGGATCAGCCGAATGGCATGAACTACACCTGGGATTCGGCCCGGTCACAGATCACAGATAGACTGCACATTCAGAGATTTCTGTAATAAATCTAAGCCTATAACATTATATCTGTAATGTCCAGGATTTAAGTAAAGGCAGCAACTTGGCAGACGGTTAATAGAATTGCAAACTAATTGCACTACAGCATAATATCAATAATGGGAAACATTTTAGGTACATTAGTTGTTCCATTTCACGAACCACTATAAAATGCAAAGGACCGAACAGGTAGTTTATTTAACGCTACACTGTTGAGTGTCCTGGTATTTACTGCCAGTGTGAATCAGTTCAGTCATATGAATCAAAAGGACTCATGACATGGGCTGTAAAACTGTCCACAGCTCGTTAGGCTCCAACAACTGTCCAATTTCCCTGCAGGAAAGTATGGCATACCTCCAGAGGAGACGCTGTGGTAAGTGGGCGGAGGCGCAAGACTTTAAGATGCAGTGGAAGGGGTCTTAAAAAATGCTGAGCACATCACTGACACGCATCCATCCCAAACGCACTGCAGGGACCCAGGGCTGGGATGCAGAGAACAAGCAGGAAAAAAAAAAGAGTTAGCCGGAACTGGACCTACCTTCTCCACATCGGCTTTGGTCACGTTAATGTCGGCGTCCATCTTGTCAAAGTAATGCTGGGCACGGTCGGCTTCTTTGCAGTCTCTCTCAAACCGACGTTTGCTCTGCAAGAGACCGGTAATAAGGTTCCTTATTCGTGCAGAACGAAGACTGATATTTCAAGTTGCTCATTTTGTCAAAGTGTTCTTTAGTATTAAAGAACTAGGTTGTAATTTGAGAGCCCTCTGATGACTGCCAAGCAAATCGCAGTTGCAACAGTCATGCCTTCCCGTTTCTCCCAATTGACCCCAATCCCTACTTCTTAAGCTGCCTTTTAGGCAAAAGCAGTGAAGCAAAGCCGCTCTGCCTCGACTGGGGTGGAACTAAGGTTCCGGCCAGAAATATGAAAACATATGTCTAAAAAGAAACCAATTAGAACAACTGGGTTGCAATAGTGCTAATCACAGTTGTAATGCACTTATTATACTGTAGGTTTAAAAAAAAAGGTTTCTTTTTTCTGTTTTACAAATAGCACCTTTAAACCCGAACAAACCACATCCTGGCTAACATTAACTGTCAGTGATGTATCAGTATCAACTCTAAAATATAGAAATAATTCACAGAAACACTATCAATAAGGCTAATGGAGTTTGAATCTTTAATCAAACTTGCTTTATTATTTATTATTATTTACTATCCCTGGTAATTAGATTGCACATTTCTCATCTAACTTTAACTGTTGGACTAGTGTGAACTCACCGACTCCAGCTGTTTCCAGGAGTTCTCGATATGCTGCTGAGCTCTGCGACCATCATGGAAATGCTGCAGGAGGAGAATCATAACAGTGAGCGTGGAGTCATCAACAGCATACTGTATGTTTACAATGACAAATCTTTTTATTTCACATATTAAAAAATACACCCCCCCTCCCACCATTAAAATCCATCCATCCATTTTCTGTACCGCTTTTCCTACTGGGTCATGGGAAACCTGGAGCCTATCCAAGGGGGCATTGGGCACAAGGTGGGGGACATCCTGTACGAGGTGCCAAATCATCGCAGGGCACAATCACACACCCATTCATACACTACAGACACTTTTGGACATGCCAATCAGCCTACAATGCATGTTTTTGTATTGCTGGAGGAAACCAGAGTACCCGTGGAAAACCCCCACAACACGGAGAAAACATGCAAACTCCGCACACACAGGGCCATGGTGGGAATCGAACCCCCAACCCTGTGTTGAGGCAAATGTACTAACCACTAAGCCATCATGTCCCTCCCTAACAGTGGAATTAAATCCAGAGATAAAATTCAAAATGAAAATGGGGAGTCTGAAACATTTATTATTGCAGTAAATAATAAATACATGTGGGGAATTTTAATGCGGTAAAAGCTGCCAGTTAGCGATCTACAAGATGACGAATAAGTGGGATGGCGTCGGTGGAAGTATCAGCATGAAAAGTTGAACCTCGGGAGTATACGTATAAGGAGGTGAGAGAGCTGGACAGACAAAAACACTAAACCACTACGGCTGTAGCACTGCTGATCACTCAGGTAACTGGACCATCTTCAGTTGTTTGTTAGGGGGGGAGTTGGGAATCCAAAACCCAAGTTAACTCCGATATAGAAGTGAATATTATATATATTATGTTGTATAATGAATATTAATGAATGTGTATATATTATGATATAGGAAGATTATGTTGTTATAGATATTGTAGTTTATGAAAAGTTACCTCTGGAAGAACATGGAGGAGTCCATGAGGATGGAGCTTCCAGATTAAAAGCCAGGCCTGTTCATTTATGTAAAAGAGGGTTGTAGTTTGGAGTTTTAGCACGAGTATATAATGTATTTACCGTTCTATGGAAGGAGTTACCAGCCAAGTGCTGTAGTGTATATATTTTTGTATAGTTTTCCTCCATTTTCCCCATTTCCCGTATTTTGTCTATTTTTGGGGGGCCTTAACGTGGATGTACATATTTTTGCGCACATTTGGTGGACTGTAAATAGGAGCAATGTCAATAAAACACCTTTGCACAAGAGTGCTATTGCGGCCTTGCCATCAATTTTCTTGTGTGGGATAATTTTCCCATCACGCCTCATCACGATTGCCCTCTAGTTTGAGATGAATTCCCACTTCCACCAATATCTGCAGGTAGTTGAATGGCACTGGGTAATGTACGAATCTGTCACCCAACGTGAAAATGTGAAGAGGTGAAGAAATTGAAAAAAAAAAAAAAAATGACTCAAATGATAAAACAAATCTAAAGCCACCGACGATCACATAAAGATTATTATGCAAGTCGTCCAGAGTGAATTTTTCCTTGAAAAAGTGACTCATCTATTTCATGACACAGCAAACAACAGCACTGTGCGGTCTGATCTATACCAGAAAAGACTGCAGTCTTTTAGAAACCAAGCTGATCAGATGAAATGTGAACCTGATGAATCAGCCAACACAGTATGGCCACAAAAATGTACTGTATTCCTCCCAAAACAAAATGCTCACCACTCACAAACTTCTCATTGTATCAAAAAACATTTGCTTAGGCCACCCGAGGTCACGGTGACGTGAATATCACGTCATGACTGACTCACTCCCACTCATAGGATGCCATTACACACAGTATGAAAAATACATAAAGACCACTTTCTTTCAGAGAGCCAGTCAGACATGAAAGGCAGACGAAAGCTCATCAGGGCGGAAAAACGATCTGCTCTACATTTTGTTCAGTTCATGCGTGGTCATGTCTGCTCCGATTGTGTTAGTTCCAGTCATTTGGCTGTGACTTGCAGGCCTTGCAGGCCCAGTTAAGAAGGAGGGGCATCTTATTCCTGCACCCACTCCACTGACCCCAATACATGACCCATATTCAGCTCTAGCCTGCTCTACCGTAAAATCATCCACAGCGTAATAACATATTTCACATTCCTCATCCAGGGATTTACAGGAGCTGGGGAGCAGAGGACAGATTTCTCCACAGGTGAGAATCCTGTTCTTGGATAAGCGTAAAAATGTTCAAGGATGAATAACGATAATAAAAATCTCCCTGGATCAGGGGTTTGATCACGGATCAGGGGTTTGATTAAGTTTTTTGCTGACCTTTTTTTGATAATTTGACTGTCTCTCATAAACAAAAATAAAGGTTCCTTTCGTTTTTTAACACACATGAGGCTAAAGGTTTCCAGGTAAAACATCACCCACAAATCCTAGATGTGATAGGTTGAAGACATGGTGCATGTTTAGCCAAGTAGCTTATGCACAGCTCATACATATAGCTCTCTAAATCAGTCTATAGGGAGGTACAGAGAAAGTCTATTATTAACCGGGAAAATTCATGCATAGACACACCGATGAGCCAAAACATTAAAACCACCATTGAGAGGTCACACATTGTTTGTGCTTTTGGTGGTGGACAGGGGTCAACATGGGCACTCTGACCAGTCTGTGGCTACGCAACCCCATACACAGCAAGCTCTGATGCACTGTGTGTTCTGACACCTTTCTATCATATCCAGCATGAACTTTTTCAGCAATTTGTTCTGCAGTAGCTCTATTGTGAGATCGGAGCAGATGGGCTAGTCTTCACTCCCCATGTGCATCATTGAGCCTTGGGTGCCCATGACCCTGTCACTTGTTGTATTTCCTCGGACCACTTATGGTAGGTATTAACCACTGCATACCAGGAACACCCCACAAGACCTGCTGTTTTGGAGATGCTCTGACCCAGTCGTCTAGCCATCATAATTTGGCCCTCAGATCCCTACAGCTTCCGACACATCAACTTTGAGAACGGACTGTTCACTTGCTGCCTAATATACCCCACCCCTTGACAGGTGCCACTGTACAAGATAATCAATGTTATTCACTTCACCTGTCAGTGCTTTTAAAGTTATGACTGATCGGTGTATATTGGCCATATATTAGACTCCTATTAAATGTTTATTTCAAAGCTTGTCTTTCTTTTGTTACATGTTATATTTGACAGCAAAGGAAAAAAAATATTTTATTCCTTTTCAGGCTTAAAAACAAGAGCTTGTGTAAAAAAAAATTCTTTTTTTTTTTTTAAAGGCAGTGATTTAGATGCTATTGAAAAACGCAGTCTCAGACACGTCTACCAAAGAAAAATCGGGCAACCTCGGAGGCATACAGTAACTATACACAGAAATCATCTACCCCAGATGAATGAACAAATATACACGTTTTAGGGTGAGGGTTAATCTAAAGTAAAGCAAAACAAAAAGTAATCAAATTGTTGGCCAAAGTGTGTGTTCTGTCCTTGCATCGTATTTTTCCACTTTGGCTAGTGTGACTGCATGTACTAGACAGAAGAGTTATATGACATCTTTGTGCTGCACCTCGTTTGTTTCACTTACCTTCGTGTTCCTGATTTCACCACCATCAAGTTTAACCATAGCTACATACTAAATAAATACTAGTCAACCGTTCAGCTACAAATAAATAAATAAAAAGGAATAGCCTAGATATAAAATCTGTTTGTGCCGGGAACGAAGGATACCGATCCGTCAACTCAGATTGAATAATAAATTGTAAGACTTGGTCGTTCCAACAGTGTGTGTACAATTTGCACACTTAAAATAATACCAGTGAAATTTTTTTTTTCATTTAAATTTTTTTTTTAATTCGCAGTTTCCGTTCACATACCGCTTTCCGTTCGGCTTTCAGCTCCTGGATATAGCGCACCAGCTCTGAGATGATCTGTGTTGAGAGGTTCTCTGCGATGACCTCGTGCTGCCCGGCGTAGTCATTCAGCTCGTTCAGCGTCATCAGAAACGCTCTGCAGGAGGTGTACCTGACCATATGTGCAAACACAAGAGAACAAGCATTACACCGATTATTACTCTGAAAACACCATGTTCTTAGCATTCCTAACACACCTGCGAGCTCATCGGCCAAAAAAATAAAGCGAGTGGTATTTTTAAATATTAAATTACATTAAATGTAATAGATTACATTTCTACTGCCCACTATGGACTTAACTTAGCTACAGTGCTGGTGAACTGAGATGCAGGTATACATACTTGTACTCGTCCTCTTCTCTGGAGTTCTTCTTGGGCTGATATTTCTTAGAGAGATTTCTATAATAAGAGCAAAACTTTCAGAAGCAAATCAATATGATGTAATTGTTGGTACTTCATTAAATTTCATTCTAACACTTTTTTAAATGTTAAACATTAATTTAAGACATGGCATTTTTTTAACCGAAATTTGAAAAAATAATGTTTTCATTTTAAGTAAAAAAAAAAGAAGTGCTGTAATATGAAAATAAGTAATAACTGGATGGTACGATGTGGCCTGATACAAAGAAAACTCACTGTTACCACCCTGAAGTCGATAATTTTCCAATAACCGCATGCCCTGAAGTGTTTTATTTCTCTTATAACACAACAATTCACCAGTAATTCCATTTTTATTTTCTAAAGAACGTCATACTTTTAATTTATCCATTTATAGTTACATTTAATGTTGTGGAACGTCCTACAATTTAGTTGTTGTTATGCTATGTAATGCTATAGCAGCCATAAACAGTCGTTCCCTCGCCAGCCTCTCCTCTGCAAACCCCTCCGTCCTGAAGACTTTGGCATGTTAGAAACTTAAAGGAACATCTTTACCTGACTGTTACAAAGTGCTCACACAGGAGACTCCTTCCAGAAATCGTTACAGAAAACTTCAGCATATCAACACCCATTTTTCACACCCGTTAAAATTTTTTTTTAAAGTCCCTGAGTAAGTCCTTACTACAAAAACAAGAATAAGAATATTCGAACCAGTACAATAATATAAACCTAACCCTAACTATTGTCCAAGCTTCTGTTATAGGAAATTATCAGCACCTTCTGACCAATCAGGATCCAGCATTAAACAGTGCTATGGTTTAATGTGGCTTAACATAGAGAAACTGATTTTTGGTCTTTGGTATATTCTTTCACCCTTCCACCCTCTGCATATTTTATTTATGAAAGACCAATTAAAGCAATCGTGTCCTGGGAAGCAAACAAAGCCCACTAGTGTCTCCACCATAATGAGGTCTTTATCATGTGAGAGCTCTAATTCATAAAGCTGACGTTTGTTTGTGTGACGATTCGAGTCGACTTGACACACACTAGCACCATGACTCCGATTAATTCAAGTAAATGTGAAAAGTGGATACAAGGCACTCATGGATATAATAAAGTGTATTGCTGCTGCCGCCCTGTCCTTCACTCGCTCTTCTCGTCTGTAGCTCTGTCTATCCACCCCCCCTCTCTTTTCG